GCAAAAATGAAATGTTATATCAAAAAACTAGAATTCTAATTATAAATCAAAAAATAACTTTCTTCAGATAGAATTTCATTTAGATTTTCAGTTTTAAAAAATACTTTAATATTTTATTTAACAATTCATTTATTATTATAAAGCAGAAAAAGGCAAATACATTTCAATAAAAGTTATTTATAACTCAACCCTTTAGACATTTTGTGGGGCCACTTAAAACAATTAGTTTATGTTGAGCAAATTAACACTATTGAGCAATTAAACGATAGATTTTAAACTCAGTGTATACAATTCAGAACACTAAATTTACAGTTTACAATGTAGTAGTTTGCGTTGCTATTTTTGAATATCTATTGCAGTGTTCAATGGTGTAATAACTTATATGTATATACTGAAATGTATTTGCTTTTTTACATTAGTATAAAAAAATTGCCGATTGTTAAATAAAATAAAAAGTATTTTCTAAAACCGAATATCTTCTAAATTTTGCGAGTTAATTTATATTGTGTTATTCCAAGGAATTAGTTAGCCTTAGTTTTCTCATATACGCAAATTAGTAACCACAAAAACACCCACGAATTGCATCTTTTTGTTTTAAAACAAAGTTTAAGTGTCTGTAATTGTTATTGTTTCTTACCCTTTTAATTGTGTTGTCCTGTAGAGCACACAAGCAGCAAGGCAGTACGCATTTGCTGAATAATTTTGCTTAATTCGTCAGTAATTAATTAATTAATTAATAAATGATATAAATTACCTCTCGCTATGATTATTTATGGAGTTTTTTACGTTTTTATCAGTCAAAGTCAACCCATGTACAGGAAAAAAAATCGAACATTTGCTGAAATTTATTTGTAAATCTGTAATACAGTTGAAACCTGTAAACTAGATTTAATAATATTTGGCTATTGGTCGTGAGATGTCGCTTCAGATACGTGAAATACAAGGAACGTCCTATAACTCTTTAACTGAAATATCAGGTATTATCGGAAAGTTTTAACAGAAAATATTTAATTGTCTTGTTATTAAGTAAAATTTTAATTCCAAAAGTTTTCTTAAACCATTTTCATAAAAAAAAGGAAAAAGTGCAAACACTAGGATAACTCATAAAATTATAGAAATTTATGCAGAAAATTATTACGAAGTGAGCAGTATTGTCTATAAATGTTTTTTTTTATTAATAAAGTAAATATCGAATTTCTTATTCATTTTGTTGTATTGCGTTGTTTTTTTTTTTTCCCCCTATATAAAACAAAATTAAAAAATACGGTAAACCCTCATTTATATTGGAATTTTAAAGAAAAGTTACACTTCCAATTTTTTGAAATTATCTTATATGTTCACTAGGTTTNTATGTATATGTATTTTATTACTTTTCGTCAACTGTACAAAACTCGTTAAAAATATTTATCTAAAAAGATCGCAATTGCGACCCTTGAAGGCGGTAACTTATTAAATTTTAAATATTAACAACCACAATTACAGATCAACTAAAAATTCCGGCAGTTTCGATAAGGCAGTTACAACCGCAGCCTGAGGGGCAGATTTTATTTCTACTAAACCACCTTTCCATATGTTGAGTGTGACCACCGTGACCACACACCAAACAAAAATTCGACGAACCCCTAACCGAAATGTGACAAATAACACAGTTAAACGCTAACTTTTTACAATTCGGACAAGCATTGTTCTTAACAGGTTTCAAACAATGTTGACAATCGATAAGGAACTCTACACCTTTGTGAGCTTCTGCTGGAGTACACAAAAACTTCAATACTTCCGCACGATTGTATAAAAGCCCCCACCTTTAATTAAATAAATAAGGGAGTGAATTGGAAATAGAAAAAATTGCATTTTATTGTAATTTATATGTGTTATTTGAGTAAATTAATTTAAATTTGAGTTAGAACTACTGAAGGTTAATTTTTTTTATTTATGTTGACTGTAGAATTAAGTACGAATTCAGTAAAATCAGAATTTTCGTCATCAATATTGTCTTTAGGGTTTTATATAGGAGAAATCAATAGGGCAACTCTCTTTTAGGGCTCCCTACAAAAAGGACGAGATTTCAATGCACGTTTGTTTGAATAACTGAGCAACTTCTAATGCAATCAACCTGAGATTTAGCACAATCGTAAAATGTGCCTCAGCAGAGTTTACACATTTGTTTTTTTAATTAGAATCTCCACTATTATTTAAAAAAAATGCATACTGGATAATCTCAAAAAATTGGGGTTAAAAATAAAATTGCACAATTTATTTTAATGTCGTGGTTTAAATATACTATAAATTTTCAAAAGGATGAATCTCCTTTAATAAAAAAGTAAACTAGTTAAAGTTTAATAAAAACAAGAATGACTCTCCTCATAAATATTTTAGGTGTATTTTCGGCATCTTCTCTCAGAAAAGCAAAAGCGCAACCTTATTTTAAAGAAGTCAATGTAATAAAAATCATAATTTCTGGAGCATTTCCAAAAATAAAATCTTACCTGTGTAACATTTCAGCATAAGCTAGTTTGTAGTACTCAAACTGTTTACTACATTGGTACTTTTGAGGAACAGGTGCATGTTTTTCCTCTAATGGAAAGTTATCCAAAGAATTAGAACGAACCGTCCTCAATAGGGGAAACACCCAACCTTCGGCTACTACATCGGCAGGTGGTATGGTGTGGTATGGAGAACTGTTCTAAAGTAACATATAATAAAATAAATAAATAAAAATCGAGAAGTTAAGATCGAAAGCAAAAACAAAACATAACTACAAAAAATGTCATTTAAAACAGCTTTTATGTTATTTATAGATAGTATTTCAAATTTCAATTTTAATTTTGTTTCTCAAGTTTATATATCCTATCAAAGTGTGCAGAGTTTAAAGATATTGAATTTTGAAATGTACTACATTAGTGAATTCACAACCCAAGTATGGTTTATCTTACAATATCGCAAAACATCTTTTTTATTTTTATTTTTTTAGCAACTTTAAATGACATAACCGTGCAAAAAAACGGAAAACATTTTTATAATGAACAGTTTAAACAAGTAATAATTTCATATAACGTGTTACTAATCAGCATGGTCGAACACACAAATTTAAACCCCAAAAGCAAAACAGTTTCGCAATTTCAGTTACATTTATTTGCAGTGTATGTAAATCATACAAACTGACCCTAATTACCTTTAATAACCTTTTCCCCCTTGTAAGTTGCTACAAAATAAAACTTATTTTAACAATTCTGAATTATTAAATACGAAATACATCAAGTACCTGTGAAGAGGCCAAACATTGGCTAGTTTTTTTAGAATTCAGTTCTTCTTGGCCTTTCCCATACAAGCAACTTAACATCGCTGCCATTTGTAAATCGGACTGTTTGGCATAATGGGAAATCCTATAGCAAAAACGTTTTTTTGTAATGAATTATAAAATAAAAGCTTATGATCTAATCTTTATTTCAAGCATTTTTTCATCATCATCATCATAAGGTCGTCAGTCCTAAGACTGGTTGGACACGTACCTCGACTCTTTCCTATCCTTAGCTAAACTTCGCATTTCCCTAAAACTAGAACAGCCCACATCCTTAACTATTTGCGAACAGTAACCTAATCTAGGTCTACCTCTATCCCTCTTAACTCCTGTTTCTGCCTGTAATATGTCTCTGACTAGACCTTCATGCCTGAGAAGGTGTCCTACCAACCTATCTCGCCTATTTTTTATTGACTTCCATAGAGTCCTCTGTTCTCCTATTCTTTCCAATACCTCTTCATTTCTAACCTTTTCTACCCACGTTATCCTCATCATCCGCCTATAACACCACATTTCGAACGCTTCTAACATTAAGCATCTTTTAGTATTAATAAAATCCATGTAAAAAGACTACAGTACGTCAAATTAGACCAGCACTTCTTATACTTTTATCTCTATCAAATTTCCCAGACAACTACGAATCCCTTGTTAAAAAAAAAATAGTAAAGGTACAACGAACAACATTTTGCTAATTAGTGTAATGAATGGACTTCTGTTTTGTCGCAAATTCAGTCGATTTTAGGACGAATATTGCTTAATGCCGGTCTTAATTCTGGTTTAGCCTTAAGTTGATTTCTTTATTTCGTTTTTATGATGACTATATAAATCTTGTCGCGCATGGTCGATTAACAACTGCTTCGTATACATCACTTAGAGAAACCTTGCCACTTTGTGTGCTTAAACATTATAATTGTTATACTTACAAGGACTCAATCAACTGATATCCGAAGGGATGTTTTGACCACTGCATGTCCTCCTCCTCCTGTTGAGATGCAACTGCCAATTCCGCCAAGGTCCAGGCTTGTACTAAGTCCCACCTTTCTATACTAGCTGCAGCTTCCGAATTCAGTTTACATATTCGACTAACACTATCGTCTAAAACATACTGCTCTGCAAGTTGCCGACTTTCAGCTAACAATCCAGACACATCGTAAACTGTTATTACCGATTTTTGCACTATAGTTTTGTGATGATACTTAGATCTATGACGATGTTTGTGCAAAAAATACGACGGTAAATTGTGGCCGTTGTTTATTTTGTAACCAAACTTGTTACTACCAAGAGCAGAAAGGGCTCGTGGTGTTGTTGCGTCGACTTTCGCATTTCCTCTACGGTGGCGCAAACTTTGGCCGAAACAGACGAGGGTACCGACGGAACCGAACTTGGCACCCGACGTCCGCGGAAAGGGAACGCAAGCGTCATTAAACGAACCCACCATTTCAGCTGATTCTAAGATAGGGCGATGCTGAGAACGATTACTGTCAGACGGATCGTTGGTTAATTGTTCTAAAACTGCAACGAATTGTCGAAGGCATGGTTCCAGACATGTACGGTTTTTCGCGACACGTTGTTGGGCGGTTTGCGTAATTGTTTGCAAAAGTTGACTTGCGACGCTTTCTTTCACCTAAAACAAAACAAAATAAAAGATGCGAGACAAACTGCTACAGAGTTTTCTTATTTCAACTTGTAAAACCTTATATAAAAATAGTAGTATGGGTACCAGAAGTAGAGATGTTTTGCAACCCGCTTATAAAAATCATAAGTATATGTACTGCAACTACTATATTCAATAATTTGCCCTCGGAAATCGAAAATAGTAAAAATAAAATTTACTTATATACGAAGAAATTATTAATAAATTGGATAAAAAGCAATTTGTAATTTAATTTTAATAATTAGGATGCTTTCTGGTATAACTAAAGTACCATTAGGTAGCTTGTGGCTTTTAATTCTAATTACTTTTCTTTACTTATTATTATACTTACATTAGTTTCAAGTCAATTTTGTTAGATCTTAGTATTAGGTATTTAAGTGTATTTAAAATATATGAACTGATCCAATGAATATAAATGCATTAAAACTGTATTTAATGTAAGGGCAATTAATAATAAATAAATAAACAAAAATATATAATATAATGGTAAATAGGATGTTAATCTTATAAACATAAAAAATATTGTCTGTGAAGTTATGAAGACTTACTTTTGATCCAGGGGCAATTTGAAAGACAGGGGCGACACCATTGGGGTACATATTGGGAAAAGACACATTTAAATTGACTACGCAATTATTGGCAGTGGCGGTAACAGAGCAAAAACGTTTGAAGTAATCCATTTTATTGACTTCTAAGTTAGATATAAGCACGTTTAGTAGAGAAAATTCCTGTTGAAGAGGCTGCGTGATGACTGCACTCGCTTCTGAAGCTGTCTCCATCACATCACTTTCAAGCTCATCTGCTCTTACCTAGAAAAGCAAATTAATAAATAAATTCAATTTTAGGGTAGTTACTTATATTATTTTTTTTCAACCAAGACATAAAATGAAAAAAATTCTACGTCCCGATTACATCGTTACTACGAATAATCCATTGTATTAAAACAATTAAAATCTAAATTAATCGTTAGTGTGCACTATGTTTAATATCTTAATTACATACTCTTACAACAAAAATTATGTTTTTGATCTAAAATGGAAATTTATACCTCTTCTGGGTCATGACCACAGAGTTTTTGTAAATAGGGTTCTATGCGCCACACGAGTAACGTCTGATCTTTTGACCAAGTCACCAACTGATAATCAGAGTCTCCTGGTCTTTGTCTTCTCCATTCAAATTCTAAAACAACGTCCCGATGACCAATAAATGTGTGAACTGGCGAGCTGCGATTTGTATAGTTCCATAAATGTAGACTTGTCTCTCCTCTTCTTAACTGTGGTACAACTACAGTCACCAAGCCATTGCCAAAGGGAGTATATCTATAGAAACAAAATAATATTAATGGAATTTTTTATAAATACAGTTAATGCTTTAAGTAGTAATTTTTTTTTATTTAGTTTATCCTCGAGGAAAAGACACCCCCTAAAGCTACTCCCCTTCAGGGGATTGTCGGATTCGCCGAAGCGCCTACCGATTAAGTAGTAATCGGAAGTAGAGCAATTTCAATAGTTAGTCATTTAGTCCAATTTAGAAAAGTATTTGAAATTTATTTTTCTTTCAGAAAATTCAATTTATTACTAAATAGAATGTTTCATCATTTTTATTTCTTCACTAAAAAATTATTTTAGTGATGAAATAACACTTCATATGTAGTGTTTTGTTGATCTATATATATATAAATAAAATTCAAGTGCCTGTCTGTAATATTAAAATAAAATAATAATAATTTCCTTCGATATACTTTATGAAAACTTAAAAAGACATGCATTACAGTTTTCTTGTTTTCATAATTTTGGCTTAATATATGTTCCTCTTTAATATATTAATAATTCACATTACCTTGCTCTCCAAACTGGTGCATTTGTTGTTAGCACAAATTCAGCTCGCCTTGCATTACAAACATCAAAAAACTTTACTGTACTGTCTTGACTAGAAGTAGTTAGTTGTGTTTCAGAGTGGGGACTCCAATCTAAACCATGAATTTTTGATAAATGAGCTGCAATATACTGCATGGGGGCACTTCCCTTGCGTTGATCCCACAATTTAACATCGCCATCATGAGTTGTTGCAAGAAAATTAGGTGAAATTCTATTCCATTGTACTTGAGAAGCCTCGGCAATTGCTGACAAAGACAAAGCTGGTCTTCTAGCATCTCTCATGTCCCAAATATGTATGAAAGTGTCAGCTGAACAAGATGCAAGTAAATTTGGGTCAAATCTATGCCAATTTAAGTCAGTAATTACTCGAGTGTGTGCCCTTAGTGAATGAGTTTGAATAAGTTCACCCATTCTCCAAGTTAATACTTCCAATCTTTGATTGCACTAAATTAATTACAAAACAGTAATTATAAACTGTTTAACACTTCTTATTGCGAAACTTACAGAAATAACACACAATTCATTATGATAAGAAGTTGGATTCCACTCTGCCACACCAACATCATATTTACTTTGCCTAGGGAACTTGCGAACATTGTCTGGATCAACATCATCAAGATCTTTGATTGCAATATATCTACGCCTGTAAAATTGGGAGTAAGCATTTTGGTGATATAAGAATAATAACATACTTACCCAGCAAGAAGTACATAAGTTCCAGTACTGTCTACAGCCATAGCATTTGCTTGTAAATCGCGGTGCTCCATTGCGGTAAAAAACTCCGAACTCCAACGAAGAGCCATTTTGACTGCTTATAACTATTTATCAATAAACACAAAAACTGGTCTTTTTATCATAAAAACGAGGGTAAATTTACTATTTTTAACTTCACTTTCTATAACGCTTTTAATCTTCATAATAATAGTTTGCCTTTGGTGACAGTTGCTTAACCTTACATTTTGCTAAGGTTATTTTCCCATTTTGAATATATTGAGCATGCGCATGAAAAAGTTTGAATGGCGTCTTTTTAAAAATACGGAAACAACAAACTGCACAAAATTACATATTTAGTTTTAATTTTAAGATGAATTTAAAGTTAGTTAACATCATAATAATCTACACATTTTTTGTATACTCTTTGTCTTTACAAACACAAATAAGAATATTTTAACAGAACTGAAATTTATGAGCGCTCTCTTTAGCACGTTTAATACATATTTCATATTTATTACTTCAGCACGAGTTTGCTTCCCTCTTTGCTAATTTTTTAACATCTTTCGGTGTATTAAGTTTTTAAAACATTTTTTTAACGAAATGAAACTAGTAAAAACGTTATAATAGGTACACCACGTTTATAATTTTTATTTTAAACAAATCAAACACTCTGATGTCAAGCTAAAAAAAATTAAATAGTTTATCATCACCCATCTAAATTTTCAGTATGACTTCATCAAATTTCATGAAACTTTCAAAGTCATCTATTTTTCACTCACCTTATAAATTACTCTCATTGCAGCAGGAATTATATAAAATTTGTAGAGTAAATCCATCGAATTCAAAAACGTCAGCAAATACATTAAAAAGAGAAGATGTAAATACTGTAATGAATAACAACCGGCGCAGTTATTGTACTTTTGTATTTCGAGAGTATCCCCGCAGAACCGCAGAAGAAATAATGAAATACCACGAATTTAAAAACGAAACAGAAGACGTATTTCTATCAAGAATAATGAAATCGGCCAAAGAAGCAACCCCCGAGGGCGGAAGCGCATTTTTACTCGATTGTACTAAAACACGCAAGTTACGAAGACGGCAACAACAATTTAATGTGTTTAAGGAATATACTAAAGAATACTACACAAAGCATGCTATTGGAATTCCAGATGAATTGCAACCTGCTTACGAACATTTTACAAAACCAAGAGAAAATTTTAGTTGGACTTCCTCTCTTAAATAACTTAGTCTTTGTAAAAGTTTTTATAGGTTTTTTTGTGAGAGAAGGGGGAAATAATGTTAGCGTATTACCTTAAATTAAAAAACAAGAAATGAATAAAAACCTGTAAAGCGAAATTACATTAAAAAGTTTAAAAGTAAAGTTTTAAAAGTTTTAAGTAGGTACATATAAAAATATGCAAATTAAAAAAAAACAAATACAACGTGTAATTATACAACATGCTACTGAAGTGAAACTTCTTCAAACACACAAACATACCGGGATAGGGATTAAGGAATTGGTTTAATGGTATTATTTGTACACTGAATTTAAATTTTACACTATACATGCCGGAGTTGCCTGTAACGAACGTTGCATTGAAGTGCGTTCACGGCTTAAGAGATCTCCACTACGAACTCGACTACGTGGCCGAGTAGAGGGGGACATCCGTTGCATGATTTCGTTACATAGCAACTCGCATGAAACGAACTTACTCTACCGTGCGTAAAGAAGTTTCACTTCAAAAAGTTTATAATATTTTTCTTCAGCTACATTTGTTCAGGTGTTCTTAGAGGATTATGGTACTTTATTTTTTGCAAAGTTTCGTCAAAACTACTATTAGCACTGACCTATACACATAATACTCAATTATAATAGCAATTTGGAAGTGGTGTGTGTATAGGTGGAAGGTATATGTAACATACTTATATCAAATGGTAGGTTTCGGTATTCCACGTTCATTAAAAGAGTGCGGAATGATTGGTTACACGGGTAACGGGTGCGTAACATTTTATTATCTTGAAATTTTTGCGCTAAAAAGTTTGGAGACGATTGTACGATATCAAATTGGGGACCGTTCGCAAATAAGGGGAAGGGAGGTATTGCTTAGCGTGACGAAGTATGTCAAGAGGGAAGGGAGGTCTAAGGAAATATATGACATTCGCAGTTCATCAATTTTTTTTTATATTTTTCTTTAACTTGGCAGTTTCATTATGGTGGAAAGTCATTCTCATTGCTGTTTTTAATCACAAGAAATCATTTACAGGGGTGGGGCTAATTTTTGTGACGAAATATTTGTTAAAAGTGTGACTTAGGGTTAGCGAAAGTTGGAAGAAGGGTTCCAAAAAGGTGAAATTCTGAGTGACGGTCCCTTGGCTAGAGTAAGATTAAAAATTACCAATATTCGTGACGTTTTAATGGCCCTGAAAAGTTTTAACGTTAAATAGGCAATTTACAAACAAAAAAGCAACTTTAATACAAATGAATTTTATTAAAAAAAATCACACTTTATTAGAAAACTTAATATTCATCAATGGCACTTTTTGGTTCTACTACCACTAACAGTTACTATTCCCGAACAAGGCGTTATATAAACCGTTAAAGTACAAAAATCTACGTATTGCATTAAGTAGATATGAGATAATTATTGGATTAATTTTTCTCCATCACATATTATGGGGATTACTTTTTAGTGAATTAAAGAATTAGTTGTGTTTCAATTTCCATTGAACCATTCCAACGAATCCGTAACAAAATTTTACCGTAACTATTATATATGTACTTATAGCAAATATAGTATATTTGTAATACATACTCACAATAGTGGTAAAATTATTTAAAATAATTTAGAGTATAATTTCGATTTCAAATTGCCCCCCCCCCCAACAAAAATGCCTACAATAATAAATAAATAAATAAACGATAAATCATTTGATTCTCGGATAATAATAAAGTACAGAGGATCCGGGAAGTTGCCAATTTGAGGCGTGCAACTCGATTAATTGTAAAAGGGTTCGTCTGACAGCTGGCGATCCCGCTGAAGCCAGAAAAGCGTCACGAACACTTGCCAATAGTTGCTCCAATTGAACGGGCAATTCACTTTCTAAATCACGACCAATGGATGTTAACACAAAAAACAAACACTCAGTCTCTGGAAGGCACGTAATTGGTAAACTGACGCAAGCTTGGCAACATTTTGCCAGCACTGATAACAGCACCAAATCGGGCTGAAGGTTCTCGTGTTTGCTCAGTAGTTTATGACGTTTCAATTGACCGCACATTTCCGTAAGAAACCACATGAAAGCAGTGAAACGGGTTCCATCGCCTGCTTTTACTCCTCGTAAAATCTTATCCCTTTCTTGGTACCACTGTTGGCACGTGTTTAGCAAAGATTCTAGGAAGGTTTGGTTCTTCTCTCGATCGATAATCGATATACACGTTTTGGCACCGGCTTCCGAATATCTTATTCCTTCAACTACTCTCTCTAAAATTACTTTAACTAAATCCATCAAAGTTCGAGAAGGAAGTTGATTAGGATCGTCTATCGCCATATCCAAATTGCTTTGGTCTTCTGAAGGAAATTTACCTAAAAAGGAAAACCAATATTAAAATTTAGTTCACTATACAATAAATAGAGGGGAGGCATCTCCAAAATATACACAAACTCGTGCTTAATTTGTCAACATCAACTATTTAATAACAGAAGAATAAAATTTGATGCCAAAGAACTTTGCCAAACATGTGAATGATTATATTCAGTGTTAAGAACACAAGAGCAGATTGAATTTTAATTGAATTTTCTCCTAATCTATCACGCCTATTTTAATTGTTCTTTCAACTGCATAATAATCTTATTTCATGATAGGTTTTAATCAATATTGCATCTATTACCTATTTATTTTTATTTAATGAGAGATGCGTTTTTATTTTTTTTTACAGATTGCAAAATATCATTTTAATATATACTATAAATGCCCTTTATAAATTAATATTAATTTGTATTTGTGCTGGGTAGCGATTTCAAACAGGCTCTTAAAGGTTAAAAGTCCTGGCTTCTTTTCTCCCTGCAAACTATAGTCAAAATGATTATACGATTTATCAAATTATGGTCCCAAAATAAAATTTCTAACGATAAGATATACAGCTACGGTAAAAAGTTCACCGAACATAGAAATTACGTATTCCTTAGTTGGACACGCACCTACACTCTTTCCTATTCTGAACTAATTTTCGCATTTCCCTAAAACTAGAACAACCCACATCCTTAACCATTTGCGAACAGTAATCTAATCTAAGTCTACTTCTACCATTCCTGACTCCCGTTTCTGCCTCTAATATGTCTCTAACGCATTCCTTTATTGGCATTTCTTTTAAGTCCACGAGCGAAAATCCATAGTTTGGTGAACATACGAAATATATTTATTCAACCACGTCTATCTAATAATATCATTAGATTCTATGAAAACTGTCTCAAATTAATAGAACTCTCAAGATATTTTTATCAAGGTGTAGCAGAATGTATTTGTACGAATTTTTCTATATCACGTCATATTTTTCAATTAAAATATTCCTATGTTCGATTGTTAACTCGCCGCTAGTGTATAAAACACATAAACAAATTCGCGTTCTAATTTTGTAATATTCGTACATTTCAGCTATAGAATTTGAAAAGACATCAATTAACGCCATTTTTTCGAATTAAGATATTATTTACCTTTAAATGCAGGGGTGTAACTGCTAAAAATTGTTAAAACGGTAAGAGTTAAACGCACCTTAGATCGGAGCCGTTTATATCTCACCCCTTACTTACGCCACTAGCCAAATGAAAAACAGAAATAAATTTCTTACCTAAATTTGTTTCTTCCTTGGAAAAACTCTTCAGTTTCTCTATCAAGTTCCTCGAATCGGCGGCGCCTAAGCTTTTCGACCTCTTCAAATTTCCGTGGCTGCTACCGTGATGATTATTATTGAAATTGGTAAAATGCTGAGCGTGATTCAAGTTTGGGAGAATAGTTTGTTGAGAGAGAGCGTCGCTGTTATTGTTACTGTTATTTGCAATTTGAAAATTGACTCTAGGATAATGGTGATTGAGTAACACGTGCGTGGACGCCGAATGCAACAAAGGAGGAAGTACCATTGGGGCAGGAACTATCGGTATAAAGGGCGCGGAACCGTGAATATGTCGCAGAATGTTTCCGCTCGAAGACGAATGTTGTAAACCATGCGCTTGAAAGTCAATGTGTTGAGCTAAATTGGCACTGCTCTTGGAAGTTTTTAGATCATGATTCATCGTGAATTCCTTCGCGTGTACATTTAAGACGCCACTATCTGTTCGCACATTTGGTGGACGATAGATTTCCATTGTCGGTTTTCCTTTTATGGTTGCCATTGTTTGACTTTTTCGCTTATGAGGGTCCTTGTTCGTTCGAATAAAACTTCGTTCTTTCGTCAATGTCGTTGAGGTCGTAAAATCTGTCTTCTGACTTCGTTTCAGACTGCTTTGTAGCTGTTGCGTGTGCGCCATTTCCGTCAAATTCCTGAAACAATTACATTCATTTACATTTCGCCATTAAGTTTTCTTATTTTAAACAAATTAACTAATTAAATATAGATAGTTCTTGCTAGATATTATCAACGAGAAACATTTGCTCTTAATTGTGGTACCGTCTGCGCCCGCCCAACCTGTTCCAGTCAAATTATAGTGAAACTGCGATAATTCGAATTTCGAGAAAAAAATTGCGAGAGTTGTAGACTCATACCAAAATAACGCTAAGTTAGAAACTTGAAAAATTTCATGTCTCAAGAGATTTTTGTAAAAATGAAAAACTATTTTGAGTACTACGAAGCGAAATTATATTTACTAGTTCAAGTTGTAAAATTTTAAGCTATTCTGAGATACTGAGTATTTGACGTTAATAGAAAGGAAATGGATGCATCTTCTCCATTACAACATAGTTTTTTTGGGCATATCGACGTGAAACGAAAACTATCATTGCAATTCCCTTGCATGCTTTTGTGGTAAGCACATATGCATAGAAAGCCAATAATGTTAAAAATAAAGTAGTCGTATATGTTTGTGAAGAGAAAAAGTAGATACTATAAAAAATCTAAAACGTTCAACAGAATCAATAATTTGTGAACAATTTCCAAAGAGCTTCTTACTTATAATTTTACCGAATTTTAAATTTTAAATTATTATGTATCAATATGTATAGGTAGTTAATTTATGTCACAATACAATTGTTAAAATATGATATTTAAAAGAAGCTTAAAATACACGTTATTGATTAACTTTCTGTTATGATTTCCGAAGAATTGTTAATTTTATTATCAATTGACGAAGTTTCAGCAAGTTTGAGTCTTAATTAAATGCAGAATGTCGCAGTTTATTCTTTAAATTACGGCTTAAAATGTAATGGCAAAATTTGTGATTTCTATCCTTTGATGAAGTGCGCGAAATTGCCAAAAGCTTTCCTTTTTTATTTACCAGAAACAATTTAAGGAATTTACTTCTTCTCGTAGGGAAAATACTATAAAATAAATTGTTATTAAATTCTTATGGATCACAAAGAATTTGTTCAGAAATATTTTGAATATTTAAGAAAAATGTTGGATAAAAGCGAGTTGTAAATTTGCATGAAAAAGGTAGTTTACAGGTTCGTGAAATCATTCGAAGAAATTATACGATAACTCACTAAATTAAAGAAAGTTTCAAATGTTACGTTTTTTTTTAGCAATAACCCAGAAGTTTTCTTATTAACTAAAGTCATGTTTTCCTGAAAAGCTTGACGACAAATTACTAATTATTAAAATAAAAGACGAAATTATATATTGTAATGACATTCCGAACATATTCAATCTTGTGTTTTTGTGTTTTATTTTAATAACTATTGATAAGTTTCAACATGTAACAGCTACCACCCTAAATAGAAAAAATACTAAATTTTCTCCTATAATTATCAAAGTGGTTTAATAAATCGATAACAAAGTTAGTAATATGAGTGAAGGTCCTAGAGAAGGTCACACCCTTTATAAATACCAGTGACACAATATATTTGTAGGTAAAAAAAGGTATTTAATTGAAAAATATTTATATTGTATTTAGAAAACAACTTGAAAATTGATCAGTAAAGGAGTTCGTAAAAAATATTCTCGTTGCATTTTCAATTTATTTGTACATATGAACGATAATTTGTAACGAAAGATGTGGGTACAGCATTACGTAAAAATGAATGCAAAAATCAGTGTGAAGTTAATACTGACTACCTACACGGAATATAATAAACAATGAAAATTAATTTACTTATCGTTAGTAGTCAATAAATGAGTCATTTTCTGATGTATACCTGAAATGTACTCCTCTTTTAAGCAGTGAAATATAGTTATTTCTGTGCAATTATTCATAACCCAGTATTACAAATCAGACAAAAATATTCGCTAAAGTCAATTAGTGTTAATTTATAAAACTTTGATACAAAACAATAAAGTGCGTTAATATTGTACAAATGTTTACTTTGTTTAATAATAGTACCTCGGAAATAGTCAGGACTACTAATATTGAATTCGTACAGAACGATGGGATTGTTTTTAGACGCACAATAACTTTTGCGCACAACGGGGTTCACTTAAAAGGTACTAGAGAATTCCGCACATATTTCATATTAATTTTTTTTCTTTTTCACTTCCTTGGGTGCGTGCGTATTTTTAAATCAAATTCAAGCAAGCAGCGCGATAATACAACCAACGGCTCGCAAGATTAGAAGTAAATTTTTGCGCTAGAGTTAGAAAATATCAGTCACAGCCCACTGTCACATCGGCCTTATTTGGAGATCGTTATTTTATTATAACGTTTTCGCATGTGTGTTATTGTTACGCAAGCTCTTCGCATTATTTATCGCATCTGTTAATTAATAAATGAGTGAAAAAAATGTGTAGGAAGGGCGAACTTTCGCGGAATACGAACCCGAAGTACGAAAAATAATACTATCGTTTGCGGCCTACGAAGCAGCGTCAAGAAAACTGAAATGTATTTTTTAAAGTTGGCTTCAACTCGTACAGGCTTGGCTGTATTTATGGTCATCAGTATTTTTAGTCAGGCTGCCGCACAAATGTTCGTGGAGACATATCTGTATGATGTGTACGTGTGTGTTATACTATGTGTACGCAGTTTAGCGATTATTATTAGAAAATGTACCCGCGATTGAAAAGAAAACACAGAAAGTAGCTGTGAAACGCCACTTCCTGAAAATCGCGGACGTAAACGTAAAGTTTGTATACAAGGCGCAACGAGAAAGTGCTAATGATTGTTATCGTTCACATGGAAAAAAGAAACAAAAAGTCTTGCTCATCTTAACCATTTAAAGCACTGCTTTCGAACATATTCAATCTCGTTACCCTGTTAAGTAAATTGGATTTCATTCCTCCCTTTTCGAGAAAACGACACCAAGACCTATACTCGTCAAAATCGAATAAAAGGACACTTCTTAATTGTTTTTTTTTCACGGTTGGATCGTTTTTCATTGCGTCTCTCTGTTTTCGAACGCTTTCTTTGCATAGATCCACTCATGGTACCAACGGTCATCGAGCGCGAGCGTGTCAAACATGCGACTTTAGGAACTATTTTGGCAGAAATATATAGAATATTTTACTCAAAAAAGCGCTCGTGAAATTGCTGCGAGATGGAAAATATTTACTAAGTTTTAAGAAGCGATAATTATGTAAAAAAAAGTGCATAGAATCTCATAGTACCAACAGTTTTCGAGTGCGATGTGAAGTAAGTACATTGCGGCATTAGTTTTGGTGAAATACATATAATAATTGAACGATAAAAGCGCTCGTGAAATAATCGGGAAGTGGTAGTATCTACTACGCTTTCAGATGTGATAATTATGTAAAAAAGTATGCAGAAACCCTATAGTACCAACGGTTTTTGAGTGCGGTGTCAAGCAGGGGATTTTTGGAATTATCTTTGCAAAATATAGGATATTTTAATCATAAAAAAGCGCTAGTGAAATCACTGCGAGATGGAAAGTGTTTACTGAACTTTAAAAAATGGTAATTATGTAAAAAGAAAAAAAAACTAGCTTTAGGAAAGTCCGATAACTTAATTGGCGACTGTTCTTTTAAAAATAAATAACTTTTAACTCTTTTGGCTTTGATTTTACACTGATTACTAACAGTGGATGAATGGGTACAAGAAAATATAAATGCTGAAAAGGAAGTACAAAGATCAGTATATGTATAGAATATAGTGGATTTTACAAAACTGATACTTTTATCGAAGGGGTAATCCCAAATTAAGTTTATTTTGGACACGGTGGCTATATGTACGCACTCCTTAGACTTATATTATTTTAAATTTTTATT